TTCTTTTTTATGTGGATGAATGTTCTAAAGATGTCTGTTAATCCCAGTTGGGTCATTACTTTTATTAGACACTTTCCTTCTTTGTTGAGTTCTGTCTGGTACTCCTGTCTAGTGGTGAGAGTGGTGTGTTGAAATCTCCCACTATAACTGTGTGGGGCTTTATATGTGATTTAAGTTCTAATAATGTTTCTTTTATGAATATGGATGCCTTTGTATTTGGGGCATAGATGTTCCAGGATAGACACTTCATCTTGGTGGATTTTACCTGTGATGAGTATGTAATGACTTCCTTCATCTCTTTTGATTGATTTTATTTTAAAGTCTAGTTTGTTAGATATTAGAATTGCTACCCATGCTTGTTTCTTGGGTCCATTTGATTGAAATTTTTTCCCAACCTTTAACTCTCAGGTAATGTCTGTCTTTGAGGGTGAGGTGTGTTTCTTGTATGCAGCAGAAGGAAGGGTTCTGTCTTCGAATCCATTCTGCTAGCCTGTGTCTTTTTATGGGTGAGTTAAGGCCATTAATGTTGAGGGATATTAATGACCATTGATTGCTCATCCTTCTTCGATTTGCAATGGTTGTTGTTGGTGGAATTATATGTGGAATTTCTCCCCTTTGTTCTTTTGGCTGTTGGTAGAGAGGGATTCTCTAATGCCTATGTTTTCTGGTTGTAGTTAGCTTCCTTGGGTTGGAGTTTTCCTTCCAAAATTTTCTGTAGGGCTGGGTTAGTGGATACATATTGCTTGAATCTAGTTTTGTCATGGAATATCTTGTTTTCTCCATCTATAATGATTGAGAGCTTTGCCGGGCATAGTAGTCTGGGCTGGCATCCATGGTCTCTTAGTGTAGGTAGAATATCTATCCAGGACCTTCTGGCTTTCAGAGTTTCCATGGAGAAGTCAGGTATAATTCTGATAGGTCTGCCTTTATATGTTACTTGGCATTTTTCCTCAGCTGCTCTTAATATTCTTTCTTTATTCTGTATATTTGGGGTCTTGATTATTATGTGGCAGGGGGGACTTTTTTGTGGTCCACTCTATTTGGTGTTCTGTAATCTTCTTGTACCTTCATTGGCATGTCTTCCTTAAGGTTGGGAAAGTTTTCTTCTATGATTTTGTTGAATATGTCTTCTGCCCCTTAGAGGTGGTTTTCTTCTCCTTGTTCTATACCTATTATTCTTAGGTTTGGTCTTTTCATGGTGTCCCATATTTCCTGGATGTTTTGTGTTAATGATTTGTTGGACTTAAGGTTTTCTTTGGTTGATGAATCCATTTCTCCTAGTGTATCTTCAACACTTGAGATTCTGTCTTCCATTTCTTCTATTCTGTTGGTAATGCTTGTATTGGTAGTACCTGACTGTTTGCCCAGCTTTTCTATTTCCTGCCTTTTTCAGATTGTGTTTTTTATTGTCTCTATTTCAGTTTTCAACCCCTGCAGTGTTTGCATTGCTTCTTGCAATTTTCGGTTAATCTTTTCATCCATTTGTTGCCTTTTATGAATTTTTTCGTTTCTTCTTTCTTCCATTTCTTGCATTTTTTGCTTTGCTTTTTGTTCCATTTCTTGCATTTTTTGCTTTGTTTCTTCTTCCATTTCTTGCATTTTTTGGTTTGTTTTTTCTTCCATTTCTTTGAGGGATTTTCCTTTATCCTCTTTTAGGGCCTCTACCATTTTCATGAAAGTGGTTTTAAGGTCGTTGTCTTCTGCTTCGTTCATGTTGGAATGTTTGTGTCTTGCTGGTGTGGAGTCTCTAGAATCTGGTGGGGTCATATTTGTTTTTCTGTTGCTGAGTGTATTTTTGTATTGTCTGTTTCCCATGTCTTCTTCTAGTGGGTGCAGAAAGAGCCCCTTACTGGTCTGGTGGTTAGGGGACCAGAGTTCCCTTTTGGTGGGTGCTAGCAAGTCCAATAATCTGGTGGTTCTTATATTCCTTGTCCTCATTCTGGTCCCGTGGGTGGAGAAGAAGAACAGGAATCTGGGGCACTTAGCCTCCCACCTCATCCCCTGGACCCTTTGCTGGATCCTGTTGTACCTGATCCTGTGGCTTGAACATCTGCTCCCCTGGTCTCCCTGGCTCCTCTGGTTTTCTGGTCTCCCTAGTGGGAGAGAAATCCTGGAGTCTGTGGTGTTTGGCTCCTGCCGGGATTGGAAGCTCTGTGCAGTTCCCGGGTAATACCCAGGCACTGGAACACAGGCCCAGAAGCAGGGCCTGTTGTACCTGATGCTGCTGCCAGAACAGCTGCTTCCCTGGACTCCCTGGCTCCTCTGTTTTCCTGGTCTCGTTGGTGGGACAGAAGTCTCACAGTCTGGGGTGCTTGGCTCCTGCCGGGATTGGAAGCTCTGTGCTGTTCCCAGGTGATCCCCAGGCACTGGAACACAGGCCCAGAAGCCAGCCCTGTTGTATCTGATGCCGCCGCTGGAACAGATCCAAAGTTCTTGATATACAGGTCTTTCATTTCCTTGGTTAACATTATCCCCAGATATTTGATGCTGTTTATGGCTATTGTAAAGGGTGATGTTTCTCTGATTTCTTTCTCAGCCACTTCATCACCTGTATATAATAGGGCCACTGATTTTTTTGAGTTTACCTTGCATCCTGCCCCTTTGCTGAAGGTGTTTATCAGCTCTAGGAGTTCCCTTGCAATGTTTTTCGGGTCACTTATGTAAACTATCATATTATCTGCAAATATTCTTCACCTTCATCTATACCTATTATTCTTAGGTTTGATCTTTGCATGGTGTCCCTTATTTCCTGGATGTTTTTGGTTAAGGATTTGTTGTACTTAAGATTTTCTTTGGTTGATGAATCCATTTCTCCTAGTGTATCTTCAACATCTGAGATTCTCTCTTCCATCTCCTGTATTCTGTTGGTAATGCTTGTATCTGTAGTACCTGACTGTTTGCCCAGCTTTTCCATTTCCAGCCTTTCTTCAGATTGTGTTTTTTATATTGTCTCTATTCAGTTTTCAACCATTGCACTGTTTGAATTGTTTCTTGCAATTTTTGGTTTATCTTTTTGTCCATTTGTTGCATTTTATGAATTTTTTGGTTTGTTCTTTCTTTTATTTCTTGCATTTTTTGGTTTGTTTTTTCTTCCATTTCTTTCTTGTATTTTTGGTTTGTTTTTTCTTCCATATCTTGCATTTTTTGGTTTGTTGTTTCTTCCAATTCTTGCATTTTTTTGGTTTGCTTTTTCTTCCATTTCTTGCATTTTTTGCTTTGTTTTTTCTTCCATTTCTTGCATTTTTGGTTTGTTTTTTTGTCCATTTCTTTGAGGGATTTTCCTATATCCTCTTTTAGGGCCTCTATCATTTTCATGAAGGTGGTTTTAAGGTCATTCTCTCCTGTTTCATTTGCATTGGAATGTTGGAGTCTTGCTGGTGTGGTGTCTCTAGAATCTGGCAGTGTCATATTTGATTTTCTGTTGCTGTGTGTGTATTTGTATTGTCTGTTTCCCATCTCTTCTTCTGGTGGGTGCAGAAGGAGCCCTTTACTGGTCTGGTGGTTAGGGGACCAGAGTTCCCTTTTGGTGGGTGCAAGCAAGTCCAATACTCTGGTATTTCTTCTATTCCTTGTGCTAGTTCTGGTCCCGTGGGTGGAGAAGATGACCAGGAATCTGGGGTTCCTAGTCTCCCACCTGCTCCCTTGGTCCCTTTGGAGGAAGAGACGACTTGGGATCTGGGGTGCCTGGATCCTACCTGGATGGGAAGCTCTGTGGCAATTTCCACTGCACTGGAATGCAGGCCTGGATGAAGGGCCTGTTTAACCTGGTCTCGTGGGACTCACGGGTCCCCTGGTCTCCTTGGTGGAAGAGAAGACCTGAGATCTGGGGTGCCTGGCTCCCGCTGGGATGGGAAGCTCTGTGGCAGTTCCCAGGCAATCCCTAGGCACTGGAATGCAGGCCTGGATGCAGGGCCTGTTTTACCTGGTGGCTCCAGAACAGCTTGTCTCCTGGGATCTGGGGTGCTTGGTCACTGAGGAGGAGGAGGAGGAGGAGTATCTTGTACATAGGATGGCACTGGATGCTGACTGGGACACAAGTGCTGTTTTCCCAGAAGGAATTCTTAAATTCTTTTTTTTGGAAGCTGCTGGTCTTGATGCTTCTGGGTGCCGGCTTTCTGTCTCTGTGATGTTTCCATTACATAGGCTACCATCACTGCTGTGCTCTCTCTCCAATGCTTCCCAGGCACACATTGTTCTTACTCAAAATTAATAAATGTGGCCACAGTATTCTGAAGACTGCTCTTCTCAGCTTGTCATCAGAAGCAAAAATAAAATCAAGTGTGTGTGTATGAGCGAGATGGGTCAATGGATAAAGGCATTTGCTTCTTTATCTGAGAAGCCGAGGCCAATGAAACAGTTGTCATCTGCCCCCACTCAAGTACTGTGTCCTGTGCCTAACCACCCACCCTGATACTAGTCCTAATACAAACTCACACACAAATATAATATGCGAACAAGTGCAAACAATGAAAAGGAATGGAGTTATTCCATACTGTGTCCCCTAGCCTATGAACATTTGAATAAATCCATGTGAATACATGGTTCTGGGACATCATTCATTCATTCATTAATTCTTTTCAAGTATCCAAGTTGTTTTCGTAGAAACTTTTTTTGAAATAAGACAAATCAAGTTTTAATTATTTATTTTTTTGCAAGTCACCTGTTGGGTATAAAGCCAAGAGGAACACAAAACAATCAGGTCAGAGGGTGAAGACACAGTGTGTGCAGGAGAAGAGTTTAGGCAGGCATCATCCCAACACCCTTCCATTGCGAATGTGAGCAGGGGTTTGATGACAGTGAGCTTGGGCAATGTTGCCAAATGGAGACAGCGAAAGAAAGAGAGAGAGAGAGAGAGAGAGAGAGAGAGAGAGAGAGAGAGAGAGAGAGAGAGAGAGAGAGGGAGGGAGAAAGAGAGAGAGAAATAGAGAGCGAGAGACAGACAGACAGACAGACAAGGTGAAGCATATATTGTAAAGAACAAGTGTTGTGAAACATAGAACATGAAGATCGTGTGCTTATCTCCACCAAGTAGGTAGGACAGGTGGATCCTAACCCACAAGCCTCACCTAAGCAGTGGACAGAGCAGTTCAGGACACTGGACCTCATCTTAGTCAAATACAAATGTCCTAATTCATATTGATCTTTCTCTTTTCTTCTAGCTGTCCTTTGGACTTGTGGGCGCCAAGACACCTCCTCCAAGCCCACCATTGAATCAGTGCCGCCCAGTATTGCTGAAGGGGGGAGTGTTCTTCTACTCGTTCACAATCCCCCAGAGAATACTGAAGCCTTTATCTGGTTCAAGGAGATGTCTGCGTTCAAGAGAATTGAGATTGCCCAATACATCATAGACAGGAAATCAACTGTGTGGGGGCCTGCATACACTGGAAGAGAGGTACTGCACAGTGATGGATCCCTGCTGCTTCACGGCATCACTGAAAAAGACCCTGGACTGTACACCCTGCAAATTGTGAGAACAGACATGATACGTGAGGAAACACAAGTGCAGCTCCAGGTGCACAGTAAGTGACTCTGTGAATGCTCAGTGCTGGGTGGGATGAGACACACAGGACTGACGTGGCTGGCCTGACCACCCTTCCGTCTGCATTGTGTTCCCTTGTGAAGGGTGGAGAAGTTAGTGCAGGACACCCTAGTAGAGACAAATGGCCACAGAGCAGCTTCCATCTTCTGAATCCCTCTGCATCAAGGAAGCCCTTGATGGAAAGTAACTCAGTCCAAGATGTCAGAGTCAGCCCTGTGTCTTGAGGCTGTAGACCAGGGAGTCCTGAATCCTGTTATCTTTCCAAGACTGGACTAAAGTGACCGAGTGGAACCCTTTCTAGTGTTCTACTATTAAATTCTCTCTAAGCTGATGGGGAACAATGGTTTTAGAACACCCATTTCAAACTGCGGGTATTTATTAGCTCCAAATTGAGAGTGTCATAAATGAAATCCAGGAACTGGTACGTAGAGCATGGAGGGGTACTTCCTATTGGATTGCTCTTCAAGCCTGCTCAACCAGCTCTCTTATATCACCCAGGACTCCTAGTCCAGGGCCTGAACTGCATGCATTGGTCTGAATCTTTTTGCATCAATCCCCAATCAAAAAAACTGTATTACAGTTTTCCCATAGGCCAGTCTGGTAGTAGCTTTTTTTAAACTGAGGCCTTGCCTTGCAAAACAACTATAGATTGTGTGAAATTGACATAAAACCAGCCAGTGTAGCACACAAGCCTTTTAAAGGCTTGAGCCTGTCTTGAAGATCAGATGACTCCCAGACCCCACACTGCCCCAGACCCTAGACCTGAGAGCTACTTGACAGAGCCGCAAGCACATCTGTTGTGAAGTCAGGGGTCGAATGTTTCCTAGGTTGAAACAAACCTAGGAAGTGAACGTTCCAGGCTTCTTGAATTCACGGGGAAGTAGCATCTCAAATCGCAGTGTTTATGATTGTGTGCAGTGTCTGACTGAAGGCACTGAGGGAGCATCCATGGAGCCCCCCAAGGGGACAGATCCATCCTGAGGAAATGACACTTTCAGGGGCACTGTTGGGAAGAGGAGGTCATGTTTCTGTACTGCATTAAGTGAGTTAGCCACACCTGCAACTCTAGACTGAGGAATCCCTGTGATCCAGATGGGGGGCACCATCTATTCACCAAGAACAATGATCCTCATGAGATGGTTTTTACTCTTTTCCCTTCCAGCCCCCCTTTCTCCATGCTGTATGCTTACTTCTTCCCAGCTCGTGATCCATGCAGTGCCTCAGTATGCTGCTGAAGGGGGACACGTACATTTCCAGGTTCGCAATCTTCCAAAAGATGTGAAAGCCTTTTCCTGGTACAAATTGGTAACTACACAGCAGGTCCTTAAAATTGTTGAATACAGCAAAACCAGGACTTCTACCTCCTGGGGGCCTGAATACAGAAGAAGAGGGAGGATGCACCATGACGGATCACTGATGCTCAAGGATCTCACCGGGAAAGATGAAGGAATGTACACACTAGAAATTTTAAACAAAGATTTGAAAATTGAAATATCGTTCGTGAAATTTTACATGAAGAGTAAGTGACTCTGTATTGTCTAGAGTTTCTGGTTGTGGCCTATCCCACGTCATACTCTTACCTGTCAGATCGGACGGTGCCTCTCCTCTCCCCCACTGCATTGTGGCTCCCACTGTGGTTTGTGCCCTTACTCCAGGATTCACTGTGGGTAGAGAAGCTGCAATAGGTGAGGACATCTCACCTCTCTTTACCCGCAGAGAGGAGGACCTGTGCTGGGATAGCCAGTCCCGGATGTCACCTGCAGCCCTGACATTTGGAGCTCTCACCATGCATGTGTCCCCAGAAACACTGTGGGAGTGACACATTCCCTAGCAGATAATGCTATGAGGTCCTTGTAGAGAGCACCAGGGGGCTCTGACCCCAAAACCTTGCCCCTTGTTGGACTCAAGGTGACACTGGAGAGCTTTTCAAAACAGTTTGGTTTGATTTCCTGTCAGAGTCACTAGGGAACAAGGCTTTACTGCCTGTAGAGGTCATGGGACTCGTTTTCCCACAGAGTTCAGAGTCTGCTGTGGACTGCCATGTCACCTTTGCATCTCCTTCTCCTGAGGCTGAGTGGACAGGTGTCTGGGCCATTAGCCTATTGTTCTGATGAGCTCATGAGACTTCACAGGAAGGTGAAGGCACCAAGGGATGAAACAGAGGAGGCAGCTTCTCCAGATTCCTCTTTCTTCTTAGTTGTCCAACCTAGGGAATTTTCTTCTGCATGAAAATGGTCATGGATCCTGCTGATGTGAGCAGCTCCCCATCCCAAGTTTAGACCAGTGCTCATAATTAAGCTTATCCTATGGATAGGACAATGAATATCCTCTGTGTGTCCTATTTAGCCTAAACTGAAGTCCAGGAAACAGTGCCTAACTTAGAGTCACACATCCCTGGGTGGCACATTCAAGTACAAGGTATTTCTATAGCCACAGCTCCAAATTCTCCCCTTTGGAAGTTTTGTAAATTATTAACTAAAACAGGACCTGGTTGAACTCTCTGAGCTGCTGTCATTTGGTAACCTTTTTTGTTTCTTCACAGAGAATTTGGCTCAGCCCTATGTGCAAGTCACAGATTCCACAGTTGCTGGAAATAGATCTGTGATCTTCACCTGCATTTCACCGGACACCGATGTCTCTATTCACTGGATCTTTAATAACCAGAGTATGCATCACCTCGAGAGGATGACTCTGTCCCCGACAAAGTGTGGACTCAGAATAAATCCTTTCATGAGTGTGGATGCTGGAGAGTACAAGTGCGTGGTCTCCAAAGGAGTCAGTTCACAGACCAGTCTGCCAGTCTCCTGGCTTTAATGAGTGAGTGACCTCTCCTCTCATTCTGCAGTAGATGCTGGTATTTCATTACCAATGGAGTACAAAATGGAGAATAGCTCCAAGATAAAAATGATCAGTTACTACTCCTGTACAGTCAGCATGGCGATTTGCGGTGATAATCCTGGTGTTCCTGTGTGTGTACGGGAAGGCCAGGATTTACAGTGAGGTTGTCTTAAAGGGAACATAAAGATATCAATATGGTATGCAAACATTCAATGGCCTTAAGAGCTTAGGTTGTGGTTCAAATGTGAAATGATACCTCAGAATTCATGGAAACTCATTTCAGGATCCCTCAAGCTTTTTGATTCTGTGAGTCTGCTGTGAAAATGGTGTATTGCTTGCACTCAGGAAAACATCCTCTCCTGTGCTCAGATTCATTTCCTGTTTCATTA